GTCGATTGGAGACAAACCCTCTATTGTTTGCATTCTAGAAACTTCTGGAATGTCTGAAGCAGCGTTTCCCCCAGCTACCGCAACTACCTGTGTTTGGAGGGTGCTGGGCTAGGGTGAGGACACATCACAACTGCTCCCCCTTCACCTCGGTGTCGGAGGGTGGGAAGGCAGACCCGGTGAGGAGGGCAGACAGCACTGCAGAGGCAGGACCCCTGGAGCACCCGGGCCCTGCAGGAGGCTTGGTGGGAACAGAGCCAAGGTGAGAGGCAGGCTTGGGCCTCCCGTCTACACAGCCCGTGTAAAATATGCATAACGTAAGATTTACCATTTTAACCTTTTTTTTTTTTGCGGTACGCAGGCCTCTCACTACTGTGGCCTCTCCTGTTGCGGTGCACAGGCTCCGGACACGCAGGTTCAGCGGCCATGGCTCACGGGCCCAGCCGCTCCGCGGCACGCGGGATCCCCCCAGACTGGGGCACGAACCCGCGTCCCCTGCATCGGCAGGCAGACTCTCAACCACTGCGCCACCAGGGAAGCCCCATTTTAACCATTTTTAAGTGCACGGTTCAGTGGCATTAAGTACATTCTTATTGTTGTAGAAACATCACCTCCAGAACTTTTTTTCTCTTCTCAAACTGAAACTCTGTCCCCATTAAGCTACAACTTCTCTCCCCCTCCGCAGCCCCTGGCCCCCACCGTTCTACTTTCTGTCTCTGGATTCCACGTCATACCAGTGGAATCATCCCCTGTGACTGGCTTATTTCATCATTTCATAATGTCTTCAAGGTCCCAGAACTTTCCGAGCCAGAGCTTGTCTCTTATCAGTGCTGGCTTTTACTCCCATCGCAGGGTCAGCCCTTTCTCTCCAGTTAACCCCCTCCGGCTGTGTTGTCTGTGTCCTTTGTGGGTGTCCGCACCTCACAACTGCCCCTCCTGAGGTGGCTGAAGCTGCAGCATGGTGTTCGCACCTGGTGCGTGGCTGTGGTGTCCTCGTCACCGGGCGCCCGTGCCCTCCTGCTTCTGCCGAGGAGTTGCCGTGCATTAGGTGACGTCTGATGCCTGGTCCTGCCGCTGAGGCCAACCTCTAGGTTGGCCCAGAGCCTGAAGGCCCAGTGCCTGGGGCAGTGCTGGGGGTGGGATGCTCCCCTCTGGATGTGTCCCTGGTCCCTGCACTCGTCACCTGCCGCCGAGCCCCAGGCTGATGGTGGCCGCTGGGCTGCCTGGCCAGTGTGGGGACTCGGTCGATGCTCTCTTGGTGCTGCAGATGTGGGTCAGTCCAGCCCTTGTTGCCTGTGGAGACACGCGGGCTGAGTGAGGGGTTGGCGGGCTGAGGGGTGTCACGTGGGCCTGGGGAGGCTGCGGCCATGTGGTAGGACATGGTCCTCCACCTGTGATGACATCGCACGAGCCCGAGCCTTGTGACCCTCTGCATGACCTGTGGGCGTGCTTGGCCAGCCACCGGCTCTCTCTCACCAAAAGTGTGAGCACTTTCCATATAAACAGGAAATTTCATTCACCTACAAAAAAATGGGCTTAGCTCTGTTGGCTCCAACTTGAGGTGTTGGTGAGTAACTGGGTTTGCAGGCAGGGCCGTGCGGGGCGCTCGCTCTGGCTGGGGGCTCGTGGACCCGGTACCTCATTCATAGGCTCCTCCTCTCTCTCCTCCTCCCCCTCCCCCTCCTCTCCCCCCATCATATGCACCACCACCACCCCCGCTGCCACTGGGGGATGGGAGAAGTGAGGCCACACTGGGTGGAGTCAGGGGGTGACCTCGGCTCCCTGCATGCAGTCCTCACTCCCTGGCCAAAGCTAACTTGGCCTCGAGCCCAGCCCATCAGGGCGCCCCTGTTCCCAGTCCCCCGGGTTCAGCATTGCTGCCTCCCCAGCTGTGTGAATCTGCGGTTTGAACTTGCGGTGGTCTGAGGACAAACAGTCTGACGAGGGGAGAAGTTGAGCCTCATTGTTGCTGAGAGCAGCGGTTCATTCCTGAGTCATCGTTTTTTCAGCGCTGACCTGCCGTTCCCAGAGCTGCCGTTCCCAGAGCCGGCCATAAAAGGCGGTGGCGGCGAGGCCGGGCTGGCCCTGCTCCCTGCCCGTGTCCCTTGGCCTGCTCCTTGTGTCCAGGGACGTAGGGACCTTGTACTTTGGAACCAGCAGCCTGGTGGTGGCTGGTGGCGGGCGTAGGAGTAACCTGGCCCCTGCTCCTTGCCTTCCCACGTCCTCTGAGTGTGGGGAATCTGGTAGCCCGGCCGTTTCCCTTGTCTGCATGGGCCTCTGGAAGACTGATGGCTCCCCTGCCCAGGCTCAAGTTCAGGTTCACAGGGGCTTTGCTGCCACCAACTCCACTGCTATGCTGTTAAGAAGTTAGGGACTTCCCTGGTGGCGCAGTGCTTAAGAATCCGCCTGTCAATGCAGGGGACATGGGTTCGAGCCCTGGGAAGATCCCACGTGCTGCGGAGCAACTAGGCCCATGTGCCACAACTACTGAAGCCCACGCGCTTAGAGCCCATGCTCTGCAACAAGACAAGGCACAGCAAGAAAGAGTAGCCCTCGCTCGCCACAACTAGAGAAAGCCCGCGCACAGCAACGAAGACCCAGCGCAGCCAAAAATAAATAAATATTTTTTAAAAAGCAGGCTGTTTCCCCCTGTGCTGCGACGGGAACAGGTTGCCCTGGAGAGGCCGCAAGCTAGATCCACAGAAGCCATGCATTCGGGGTTTTCCTTGAGGTTCGGTGTCTTGCCATGAGGACAACACTGGCCTCCAGCCTCAGAGCCAGGCTGATCATTTGTCACCTTAGTTTCTGATCAGTGATGCAGCCCCAGCCCCTCAGCCCTCGTTCCAGGGGGCCCTGCCTCTTCTCCCCATCCTGGGCCTGCCCGACCCACGGGTGTCGCTCTGGTGCTGGGGCCTGTGCTGGGAACGTGTCACCTCATTTAATCCTCCCTGTGATCTTAGGAGGAGGAATTATTATTTGACTTTTACAGAAGAAAAAGTGTTAACTCCGAAGTTAAGAATTTGGGGTCACAGAGTCAGTGGCTGGAGCTGGGAGTTAAATCCAGGGCTTTCTTACTAAAAGTCTGTGTTGTTTCTGAGTGCTTGGGTGCAGGGAGAGGCCTGCAAGGCTGCGGCTTCAGGCGCGCAGACAGCTCTGGAGCCCACTTGGACCTGGGGACAGGGCGGCTGGAATGTTTGTCTAACCAGGCACAGCTTCACCCCAGGCACGCCCCACACGGCTCTCTTAAAGTACTCCCCACCCCCAGGGGGTGTTCCGGCCGGAGTGGAGGTGGCCTCGTGGGCTGTCTGTGGACTCCCATTCAGCCCCGGAGGCTTGGCGGGATGGCTCAGCCCACGCCTTACAAGAGGGGCGGTGAGGGCTGCCCTCCCCGTGGCTCCTTGAGTCACTCTGGGCCTTTTGTTGACACTTGGTCCTTTTCTTTGGTCTGCCCTCTACCTGCTGCTTTTCTGTTTCCTGCCATCTAGAGAAGGCATGTCTAAATCCCAGCCTGGTGGCGGTGGAGGGTTGGTTTTGGCCTGCTTCTGGGCGGCGTCCCAGGCTCTTCTCTATAGGAGTGGCTCTCTGGCTCCTTCTCAGGGGCATGACTGTGCTCTGGCAAGGACGCAGTGGTTCCTAAGAGGGCCAGCCTGCATTGGGGGTGTCCTGTGGCCTGCCGGTGAGGAAAAAGGGGACTTGCCCGGAGTCACCCAGAGAGATGGCGGCTTGGGGGCTGGGACCCAAGCTTCCCAAAGACCCTTGGGCCATTGTTTCCACATGGTCTACTATTCCTTAGTAGTCTCAAAAGATGAGAAACAATTTTCTCTTCCTCTGGGGACAGTGCAAGAAGTGGAAACACTTTGAGGTGGCATAATTGTAAAACAGGCTACAAATGAAACCACTGTTGCAGAGACCCACAAATCCATGGGCTTTTAAATCAGGTATCTGACAGTTTGTGTGAAATACAATGGTCCAAGGCCATCCTGAACCCAGGGTGGTTATTCCAGCTCCTGCCCTCACATCTGCATTCCAGTCCTTGGGAAGGGAGAAGAGGACAAAGGGCTGGTGCACCTTTTCTTTGCTTCTTCATTTCTGCTGCAGAGAGGCTGGGAAATGCAGTTTTAAGCTGGGGGGCCGTGAATCGAGCTAAAACTAGACAGTTCTGTCAGCAGTCCTGCTGCAGACGGCCGGTTCACCAACGGCCTTAATTGTTGGCAGGAAACAGCACAGAATAGAGTTGGGAGCTGGAGCTTAGTCCAGCCGCTTCATTTTAGAGAAGCGTTTAAGACCTAGAAAGGGGAGGTGGTTTGCAGTACTTAATAGGCCTGTAGAGCAGGGGTCAGCAAACCTTTTCTCTAAGGGTCAGAGTGTTAAATTTTCGGCTTTGGGGGCCTCATGGTCTCTGCCACAACTGAGGTCTGCTCTTGTAGCTCAGAAACAGCCAGAGAGTACAGATGAGCCGGCTGTGTTCCAGTAAAGCTTTATTTATGAAAACAGGTAGTGAGCCAGATCTGGCCCCCGAGCTGTAACTTGTAGGGAATGAATGAGAGTCCTGCAGAACAGGGAGCCCAGCACATAGCACCGGACAAGCAGCAGCTGTAGGTCGTCTTACTGCTGTTAATTGTCGCTGCTGTGCAGGGGCACCCAGCCAACAGCCCCCAAATCTGTTCTTCCCGCCCGGTGTTGAGCTGTGCTGCTGGGGTCTCCTCCTCACTCTTGCCATAGTTCGACCCACTTTAGAGCGTGGACTTCGTGACTTCCCTTGCATTATTTATTCGTTAAGTGCCTCTTCGTGCCAGGTGCTGTGTGGGTGAGGGTGTCACCACGGTGGGTATGGAAGTAGGGGAGGCCTGATGAACCTGCCCTCAGGGCACTGGGCTGTCCACATAAGTACATTCTGGAAATTTAAATGACCGCAGGCTGAGAAGTACCAGGCCAAGTCAGGCACGAGAGCCATCGGACCACCTGGCCCCTGGCGCCCCCAACCCGCCCTTCTCTTCCCGCAGGTTACGACTTTGCGGCCGTTCTCGAGTGGTTCGCTGAGCGGGTGGACCGCATCATCCTGCTCTTTGATGCCCACAAGCTGGACATCTCCGATGAGTTCTCGGAAGTCATCAAGGCGCTCAAGAACCACGAGGACAAGATCCGCGTGGTGCTGAACAAGGCGGACCAGATCGAGACCCAGCAGCTAATGCGGGTCTACGGGGCCCTCATGTGGTCCCTGGGGAAGATCATCAACACCCCCGAGGTGGTCAGGGTGTACATCGGCTCCTTCTGGTCCCACCCGCTCCTCATCCCCGACAACCGCAAGCTCTTCGAGGCCGAGGAGCAGGACCTCTTCAAAGACATCCAGTCTCTGCCCCGCAACGCCGCCCTCAGGAAGCTCAATGACCTGATCAAGCGGGCGCGGCTGGCCAAGGTAAACCCAGGCTGGGGACGCAGCCCCAGGGGGCTCTGGGATGGCCACTCGGGGCCCCGGGATTGGATGCCCAAGACCCAGCCCTGCAGACCCATGGCTGCACTGTGCCACGCCTTGTCTGAACCCATCCTCTTGTGCCCCCGTGGGAGCAGCCTTTTCCTGAGATTCCTTTTAGCACATATAAGCGTCAGATAAGAAGGTATCCCTGTGCCGGGGGCAGCCTGGGGGGTGGAGAGTGGGGGGGATGCTGCTCGAGGGCTCATCAGTTTCCCCCCAGGTCTGCTGAGCACTGGAGTGCACGCAGCATGTGCTGGGTGCTGGGGACGCAGTGGGGACTGACAGGTCCCCACCCTCCTAGCACTTGTCAGCCATACAGGGGAAAGCAGAACACATAAAGAAAAAGAAAGTACGATTTATTTGTATTGTCTCGGGTTAGGCCTGGGATGAGCTGTCCTGGGAGGGTGGGCTAGCCTGGGGGGCCTCGGGCGGGAGACGATGCTTAGGCCGAGACAGGAGGTAGTTAGTGGAGAGATGGGGCGCAAACCTGCAGGCCCAGGGAGAGCGCTGATGGCCTCTGGCCCAGAGGCCTTGCAAACCATCCCTACTCTTCCATGGAAGCACAGGGCCTACTGGCACCTGTGGACAGCATCTGAATTGCTCAGGAGTTTGGAGTCTCAGTGCCTGGCCGAGCACTTCAGCGGGACCCCGGGGGGGCTGGGGCTGGGGAAGGAAGGGTAATGCCGCCAGTGGGCCCTTCAAACACTGAGGAGCAGAGCACGTCCCCTTAGGACACGATTTTGAATAGTACCGCATTGTGAGGCTCCCTTCTGTGTAGCCCAGGGGCTCTGGCACTCTGCCATGGGCCAAACACAGTGGCCCAGGGCACCCTACACTGTCTTGAGGGCTGGAGTCAGGTGGCTTTGGGTGCTCCCTGGCCTGAATAACGAGAAGTGACCCTGCATCCTTTACCCCCGGCTGTGTCTCCTCTGTGGTTACCCAAAGTGCTCCAGGACCAGCAGATTGGAACTCACTAGAAGCATAGGTTCTGAGGCCCCACCTCTGCCCTACTGGACCATAATCTGCATCTGGACACAGTCCCCTGGTGACCTGTGTGCAAAGTAAAGATGCCCGCACCCTGCTCTGGAGGGCACAGGGCTGCACGTTTCTGTAGATATCTCACTTCTGGAAGCCTCCTGATGAGTGGAACTGGTTCTGAGAAAGGAGCCCATGAGAAAATCCACATACCTGGCTTCTGGCCTCAAAGGGCCAAGCGATGTCCTGAGCTGAAGGGGAAGAGGTGGTGAGTGGAGGAGAGACTGGCCTCCTGTTTTCCAGTCCAGCCTCTGCTCAGCCTCAGGGCAGCACAGCTCCCCTCCTTCCCCTCCAGCCCCTCTCCCGGCAGGGCTTCCAGTGCTCTCATCGCTCAGCCTCCTTTCAGGATGGAACAAAGGGCAGATTTCAGGCCCTGCCTGCTCATTTACAGAGATGGTGTGTAATCGCGTGGCCCTTGGGCACATTGAGTCACCCTGCCTGGAAAGCCCCAGCCTCTCCAATCTTGTCCTGCACCTGCTGTTTTGAGACTGTTTCCTTTTCCTGGACTGAGTCTCGCTCTCTCTGCTGGCCTGTGATGGGCAGAGCTGTGACTGTGACTCTGTGACCAGCCTGCTTCCCTGGGGCAGTTCTCAGCCAGGTCGCAGCCCACGGCAGACAAGGTCAGGCCAGTGGAGAGGTTTTTTGGGGGGTGGAGCTGGCAGTCTGGGAGAAGGGGGTGTGAGGCTGGCTGGCTGCAGCCCTCCTCGGCAGGACGTTGCTTGGCAAGGCAGAGGGATTTGAGGGCTGTGCCTTTGCAAGGTTGCCAGAGTTACTGGCCCGCTGTGGGGAAGGGAAGGATGTGCCACCCTTCATTGGCAGATGTCTACCCAAGGTACTGCGTAAAGCCTGAAACATCTGGGGAAAGGCTTGTGGGATTTTCCTAACCCTTAGTCATCCCCGAGGCTGTCAGGATGATAAAGTGGGGCATAACTCAGGCTGTGTTGGAGTTCATGGCACCAGCATCCACAGACGTGTGTAAGCAGGATGGCACGGCTCTGCTCGGCTTGGTAGGAATGCGCTCGGTGTCTCTGATGTGCAGAGGAGTCACCGGGGAGGGGTGTGCGTGCCGAGAAATGGTAAGAACACGGGCTTTGGGCTACGGCTGTGCTTAGCTGTCCCGGGTTACAATCCAGCTTTGCAGGGCGGCACAGGTGCAGGCCACGCTCCCAACAAGGTGTCCAGGAAGCACCTGACACCCACCCCTTCTCTGTCTTCACAGGTCCACGCCTACATCATCAGCTCCCTCAAGAAGGAGATGCCCAATGTCTTCGGTAAGGAGAGCAAAAAGAAAGAGCTGGTGAACAACCTGGGCGAGGTCTACCAGAAGGTTGAGCGGGAGCATCAGATCTCCCCCGGCGACTTCCCCAGCCTCCGCAAGATGCAGGTGCGGCTGCCCCTTGGATGGGAGTGGGTACGGCTGGGGCACTGGGGCGGTGGTTCTGGAGGGAACCCCGGCTCCATGGGGCGGGGCCTCCCAACGTGGAAGCGGCCCGATTAATCACCAGCGCCCCACCCCGATCGGAGAAGTTGACCCAGTCCGTGACACCTCACAGGGGAATGTGGTGACTCACCCGGAGGGGGAGGGGGAGGGCGGGGCTGCGCCAGGCACCCCAGCCTCCTCCCAGTTAATCCTCACCACAGTCCTGCACGGAGGGGACTATTTTTACCTCCGACTTAGAGAAGGGGGAGCCAAGATGTTAAGTGGTTGGGGCCGTGACGCGGTGCCAGATCTTTCTGCTCGGGAACCCTTGCTGCACCCTCCGTGCCGGAGCCCGGGAGGGGCCGACCCAACCCTGTCCTTCCTCCACTCCCACCACAGGAGCTCCTGCAGACCCAGGACTTCAGCAAGTTCCAGACCCTGAAGCCCAAGCTGCTGGACACGGTGGACGACATGCTGGCCAACGACATCGCCCGGCTGATGGTGATTGTACGCCAGGAGGAGTCCCTGATGCCTGCCCAGGTCGTGAAGGGCGGTGCTTTCGACGGCACCATGAACGGGCCCTTCGGGCACGGCTACGGCGAGGGGGCCGGCGAGGGCATCGACGACGTCGAGTGGGTGGTGGGCAAGGACAAGCCCACCTACGACGAGATCTTCTACACACTGTCGCCCGTCAATGGCAAGATCACAGGCGCCAACGCCAAGAAGGAGATGGTGAAGTCCAAGCTTCCCAACACGGTGCTGGGGAAGATCTGGAAGCTGGCCGACGTGGATCGGGACGGGCTGCTGGACGACGAGGAGTTCGCCCTGGCCAACCACCTCATCAAAGTCAAGCTAGAGGGCCACGAGCTGCCCGCCGACCTGCCTCCGCACCTGATCCCGCCCTCCAAGCGGAGGCACGAGTGAGCGACCCCTACTCCCAGCGGCCGGCCAGGCAGAGGCTGCAGGGGAGGGGGGTGGTCAGCAGTTCCCAAGACCACAAAGATGGCGATGTTTCCTCAGCTCGCAAAGGAAAACCACCACCTTTATCTTAAGGCTGCTCCTGGGGAGGCAGGGGTGATACTCGTAGGTCAACGGTGGAATTTTGTGCATAAGAACCATGGATATTTTTAATATATAACGTTAGAGGCAGCGTTGTTTCTTGCCTCCTCCTCCGGCCAGCAGCCCCACACACGCACAGCCTCTGTACCTCCTGCCGGGGAAGTCGCCTGGCTCGCGCGTCCTGCAGCTGCGGCCCGCGTGTAGACAGGGACGCGGCTGTTTCAGGCTGAGTCGCTCGGCCAGTGGCTTCCTTCTCCACCCGGCCCTGCCCCCGCCTCTGCTCCCAGATTCAGTTGGTTCTTCTTGTGCCTTCCTCCTTCCGTTCGCAGCGGCCCCCTGTCCACAGGCCCTGCCTTCGCTCTCGTGTCCCCTGGCTCGACAGTCACACGAGCCAGGCCCAGCTGCCTGTTTGCGGGGAGTCCGGGGGACGGGTGGGTGTGAGAGAACATCTTCCAGAGAAATACATAAGCTAGTTTTTGTTCTCTAAAGTGACACCTTTCATACTTGACTGAATTTTCCAGTAAGTTCCCAGCCACTTGTTCAGAAGCTGTGATTTTTGTCTCCTTCCCCACGCTCCAGCCAGGGGACAGCTCCACTCAGGAGCCATTAGATGTGGGGTGCGTGCAGAGCACACCCTGCCGGAGACCCCAGAGGCGGTGTTTCCTGCTTCACCCTCTCACTTTCCTAGGACATTCTGGTACACCCCTCTGTCCCACCCTTGGTGGGCGGTGGGTCCTCACGAACCTGGTGTGGCTTGGTGCTCCAGCCCGGGCCTGGTGGCCAGACAGAGGGACCAGGGACAGCCCAGCCCCTTCCCTCTCCCACCTGACTTCCTCCCGTTGAGCAAAGGAGGGCGGTGCTCCACGTGGATGTCCTAAGTATAGTGGCCCCCAGGCTGAGCAGCTCGAAACCCGAGCCAGCCAGCGGCCACTCTGCTTTGCCTCCACTGGGCTGTTGGGGGCCTGGACATACCTGTCGGCCAGTGGTCAGCCACCAGGGCCTGGAGCCGTCATCACAGAGCCACTGTGGCGGGGAGGGGGGTGGGGAGCAGGCTTCCCAGCAGGCACGCCCTCGGGGGTCTCAGGGACTCCTCCACTCTGACCTCTGACCCCGGCCCACCCTCCTAGTGCTGCTTGCTAGGCCTCTGCTGGGCCCGAGTCTCCAGGAACTGGCCATGTTACCTGCAGCCTCGGCCCACCATCCCACACCGTGTCCTCGATGGGAATTCACTGTTTACGGTGCAGTGGCTTAACCACACTTGCCTGTGGGAAGGAAAAGCAAACTGAAGACCGGACTTTTTTTTCTTGCATTAAAAAAAGTTTAACTGTGCTGAAGCTGGCCTCTGGTGCTGAGATGTCTCTTCCCGGGGCCTGCTCCCCGCAGTGCCTGCGGGGGCACTGGCAGAGCACTCCGGGGGCCAAGATTCCAGCGGAGACACATTGGCAAGCCTGGCGGGTGAGGCCTGCAAATGGGGCTGACGACCCCCTTTCCTTATGCTAGATGGGGGCTGAGCAGGAATAGTTTGAGGGAAGGATGGGGTGAAGAAGTTGGGAGAGCCTCTGATGACTAAGGACTAGGCTGTGACCCCCAGGGGTTGGGGGAGCAGGCGCCCCCCCACCCTGTGATCTTCACAGCCTCTCCTTCAACCTGGGCTCCGCCCTAGCTGTGGACGGACAGGTGGGCGCCCATGGGGCTCAGGGCACTGGGAGGGGTCAGGCAGATAGGGTATATCGTGGGCTCCGTGCTGGCCCCAGGGTCGTCTAGAGAAGCCAGTACTTTGAAGGCGGACCAAGCAGGTAACACCAGCAACAAAACTACAAAGGGTGGGGCCAGCCGATGTGGCAGATGGACTGTTCGTACCCACAGAGGGGAGGGTGACAAATTGGGAGCCGATGCCGTGGAAGGGTGCAGATTTGAGGTGCAGTCGGGGGGGAGACTGCTCCAGGCACACTTGTGGCAAAAGGCAGGACGTGAACAGCTGCCTGCGGGTTTTGAGGGCCAGGCTGAGTGCTCTAGCCCAGGTGGCGGGCGTCCAGTCTGACGGCCGCAGAGGCTCCCCACCCTCCCGGCACCACTCACATGGTTCACCCTGATCCTCATGACCCAGGAGGTCAGCATTCTCTCCATGTCACAGCCAAGAACTCAGGTGAGCTTGAAGAGCGAGTGTCACGGGAGGAGATTCAAACCTGGGTCAGCTCAACCCCAGATGGGGCGCTCTGCTGTGCTTCTAATGGGAAATACACTTTCAAAGGAAAAACAAAGCTGATGGCTCACTTCATCCCCCAAAGTCTGCAGCTGTAGACTCAGGTTTGAGAAACGCACCTTGAAGCTTAAATGCCGTCACTCCAGCCCGGGCCCCTGAAAGCTTGGGGCAGCCCCTCAATTTCCAGGGTCACCCGAGACAGGGAGATGCTTGTTGAAGCTGTTAGAACACAAAGAGAACACAGGACCGTGCTTCTGGTCCCCCCACCCCCGCATGTCCCAGCATGAGGTGGCAGGGGGCGGTGAACCCCCTAAGGCTGCCCCAGAAAGTGACTGCTGGTCTGAGGCTGGAAGAGGGGCTGAGGGCAGGCATCTGCCCCCCCGTGCAGCCCCGGAGCTTGGGGCCTGGTTGGGGTTTTACAGGCTGTGGGGGAGTCCTCTCCCGGCCATAAGGGGGTTCAGGAGGGCCAGTGGGGTGCACTAAGGTGTGACCACTCTCCCGGGGACCAGCCCGCACCCCTTGCCTCCTCCCCAGCTCCCTAGCTGGCCAGGGCCCTGGGTGAAAGGCCCCCTCTTCAGAGGCTGGTCTGGGGTCAGGACAGGACTCCACCTGGCTGCCAGCGCTCCTGGCATCAGAGACCTTTGGGGCAGTCTGCCCACCCCGCTGGCCCTTGGGCGCCACCAAGTCTGCGAGCCCCAGGGACCTCAGGGCCCAGGGGACACGGGGGCCCACCCACTGCCTCCGGGCGCCGCACAGCAGCTCTGTTTTACACCTGGAGGTTCCGGGTGAGAGTAATAAACATTTCTTCTGCTCTTTGATAAACCAAGGGTTAATCGTGACTCCCACCCAGTGCCCTCTTATTATCTCACGTGGGCTGGTCAGAGGACTTGCTCAAGGCCACCAGGCTGTGGCAAGGTTAGGAAGCCCACCCATCAGTCCTGCCCCACAGCATTCAAAGCAGCACCTCAGGGCAGACAGGCAGGAGTTCGAATCCCAGCTCTGCCACTTGCTGGGGCTCAGCCGTCCTCTCCTCTCCCTTCAGATGTCCGATGCAGACAGTGACCCCTGCTTCCCAGAGGCAGGGCCCATGGATGCCCGACTTGAGTGGCCACCTTTCCTGAGCACCTCGGGGAGGCCGATCAGGGTGCGGGTGAGGGTCGGTGCAGGGAGCCCAGCTCCCCACGCAACTCCCAGAACAAAGCAGGCAGGACCCACCCTTCCCTAAAGCAACTTGCAGACTTGGCGGCGCCCAAGGGCCAGAGGGGTGGGGGCCGAGGGGGCTTGGGCCTGGCTTCCTGTGCTCCCAGAGGGATTGATAATTATAAAGCCACATGGGGCTGCAGCCGCTGTGGCCCTGGAGCCTGGGAGCCCCTGTGGCGTGTTAGAGCAGCACAGAGGTTGTTTTTGGAAGAAAAGCCAGGATGATGAACTCACCATATGTCCACCCATCTGGAGTGTGGACCTTTCAAAGGACACAACCTTGGTGTGCTGGGGTGGGCAGGGAGTGGGCGTGGGTGGCTGCCAAGGACTAGCGTGGGGAGTGGGGACCCTCAACCCCACCGTCTGCATCAGCCCCTCCCCGCAAGCCACCCCAGCAGACACACTTTTTTTTTTTGCTTCTCTTCGCGGCTTGCGGGATCTTCGTTCCCTGACCAGGGGTTAAACCCGTGCCCTCGGCAGTGAAAGTGCGGAGTCCTAACCACTCGACCGCCAGGGAATACACACATTTCAGCCAAACCTGGAGGCCTGAGCAGCAGTGCAACTCTACATGAGCTCCCGACCCTCCAACCACGTGCTCCTCCTAGAGAGACAAGCTCCAGCCACTACTGCAGGCCGCTCCCTGTACCGCTTGCCGCCCACTCCTGAGCTGGGGCAGTTCTCTATTGCGTACTGAGACAGAGACCCAGAGAGGCAGAAGTCGCTCAACAGTAGGCAGGGCTGTAGGATCCCACAGCCGCTTCTCCTTGTTCTCTGGCTCCTGGGCCAGGAGTGGGGCGCTGCACTTCCGTCGTGGCCAAGGGCAGGGGCGGCCTGCCATTCTAGTTAGCCCTGCGGGACTATATGCTGAGAGCGGCTTCGGGAGGCAGGACTGGGAGAGGCTCATCCTCAGCCACCTGCGCTGAACCTTGACCTTGGGGAAAGGGGAGCCACAGACCAGGGTCTGGAGGCCTAAGATGTGGGTACAGATGTGACAGACCCTGGAGCCTGCCTTGTGTCTGGGGCCCTCCCAGACCCAGAGGCCTATGCTATGGGGGTCAGAAAACCTGGGTTCCCTGCTTTCCCCTGGGCTCTCACCTTCCTCCTCTTTGGGGTCCCCACCTCATCTGAACCGTCCTTCCCTTCTGCCAGGCCTGGGTCATTAAGCTGACAGTTCCCTTTTCTCACCGTCTAAGACTTTCCTCGGAAGCCTACATAAATCGAGTCCACAGCAGTCTGGCCTTCCCCTGTCCCATCCCCAGAGTCTGGATGCCACACGCTGCCCTTCTGCTGCCAGGCACTGGCCTAGGCCTGGAACCTGGGTAAGGAGCTTGAGGCCAGCACTACCTACCACCCACATCCCACCTCCCACCTCCCCATCCTCAAGGTATTAATCTGTTAATAAGGGAGGGAAATAATAACTTCCTCCTTCTGGCAGGGCCCTTGTGAAGATAACAGATCTGCATTCACTTTGAAATGCTAAGAAGCACGTAGGAATGCAAGTCTGCTGCCCTCAGGGCTGGGTGAGAGCTAATGCCAGCACCTCAATGCCAAAGGGGCTCAGAGGGGAGAGAGGTTATGGAGGAGGTGGCCCTCCAGGAAGCAGTGACCAGTGACCAGAGGAGTGTGAATAAGGACGCGGTGGGAAGAAGGGGATGGTGGAGGTCTCCTGCTCAGACTCACTCATCCCTGGAGCACCCACCCACCCACTGGTCCAGGGCCCCACACACAGGATCAGAGAACAGATCTGCTTAGCAAAGCAGGCCCAAGCGCCGGAGCTGTTTCTGACAGCAGGGGAGGACTGGCTGCTTGTCGAGGCTGGAACAGAATGAGTCTTGAGAGGCATTCTGGCCTTACAACTGCAAAGCAATGGGTAGGGACCCCCTTTTATAGACAAGGAAACTGAGGCTTGGAACAAGGATGTGACAAAAAACGAATACAGGACCAAATAGAATCATGTAGCAGATGGGCGTGGAGTGCCGAGGGCCAGTCCCAGCTCCGCCCCATGAAGACCCCAGCAGGACACAGTTTTTGCTGTCTGGGGCTCCGTTTTCCCTCAGCTGTACTATGTGGGGACAGAGTCTGAAAGGCCAGGGGATGATGGACTTGTTTGACAACTTGGCATTCAGAGAGGCTAAAGGTCACACAGGGAGTGGGCTGGGACCCAGAGGCCTCACCAGGTGGCCCTTGACGGCGGATCCTGGGGGACATGGTAGGGTGGAGGCGGGGGATCAGGGTGTCCAAGAGGGGCGGAGGAGGAATGGCCCATCTTCCACTCGGGACCCTCTCCCTACCTTTTGCTCCCCAGGAAATGGAACTAGTTGGTCCTGTCCTGAGCACCTGGCCCTCCTCTGGTCTCTGGCGCCCTCCTGTGGCTGCAGAGGGTGGGAACCCTTCCTGTGGGCCCTTTCCCTGCCCCGCCCCCTTAAGGAGGGCCTAGAACGCTTCAGGTGAGAGCAGGGAGGGCTCAACACACCATCCCGACCCTTGTCCCTCACCCCCTGCCAGGAGACACAGAGGCAATGACAGCATCCTCAGATTTGGGTTTCAATCCTGACTCCCCTCCCCCACCTGACTGACTTGGGTGAGACAGCCCATTGCACAGACCTTGGGCGCTGCCACAGCGCAAGTCTCTGAGGAGATCAAACGGGAGACCCTGGGGGAAGCCCCCAGTGTGCTGCTAGGGATGCTCAGTTCAGCTCCTCAGAACTTCATAGAGCGCCTCCCCCGTCAACACTGGCAAATCAACCCTGTACGGACTCAAGAAGGTCCCCATCTGAGGGGGGAGGCAAATCTCCAAAGATATTTTTTAATGGAAGAATTTGTTGTCTGAAGCCACTAAAATGCCCCACCCTTTGGTCCCTCCTCTTGGACAGCCCCACAGCCCCATGGCGTCTGGTCCAGCCCAGCTGAAGACAGCTGGACAGAA